GTGTTCCTGACCTTAGGAGAAAAGCTCTCTGTTTCTCCCCATTGAGAATGATACTTGCTGTGGGATTTTCGTAGATGGCTTTTGTGATTTGAGGTATGTTCCCTTTACCCCTACACTGTGGAGAGTTTTAATCAAGAAAGCATTGTCAAATGCTTTTTCTGCATCAATTGAGAGGATAATATGGTTGTCCTTTCTTTTATGAATGTGATGCCTCATGTTGATTGATTTGTGAATGTTGAACCACCCTTGCAGTCCAGGAATAAATCCCACTTGGTCGTGGTGAATAATCCTTTTAATGTACTGTTGGATCCTATTGGTAGTATCTTTGTGAGAATTTTGGCATCCATGCTCATCGGGGATATTAGTCTGTAATTCTCCTTTTTGGTGGGGTTTTTCTGGTTTTGGGATCAAGGTAATGCTGGCTTCATAGAACAAGTTTGGAAGTTTTCCTTCCATTTCTATTTTTTGAAACAGCTTCAGAAGAATAGGTACTGATTCTTCTTTAAATGTTTGGTAGAATTCCCCTGGGAAGCCATTTGGCCCTGGACTCTTCAGTGTTGGGAGATTTTTGATGACTGCTCCAATTTCCTTGCTGGTTATCGGTCTGTTCAGGTTTTCTGTTTCTTTCTGTTTCAGTTTTGGTAGTTTATACATCTCTAGGGATGCATCCATTTCTTCCAGATTGATTAATTTGTTGGCATATAGTTGCTCATAATATGTTCTTAAAATTGTTTGTATTTCTTCAGTGTTGGTTGTGATCTCCCCTCTTTCATTCATGATTTTATTTATTTGGGTCCTTTCCCTTTTCTTTTTGATAAGTCTGGCTAGGGGTTTATTGATCTTATTAATTCTTTAGAGAACCAGCTTCTAGTTTCATTCATCTGTTCTACTATTCTTTTGGTTTCTATTTCATTGATTTCTGCTCTGATCTTTATTATTTCTCATCTCCTGCTTGGTTTAGGCTTTCTTTGCTGTTCTTTCTCCAGCTCCTTTAGGTGTATGGTTAGGTTGTGTATTTGAGACTTCTTGCTTCTTGAGAAAGGCTTGTATTGCTATGTACTTCCCTCTTAGGACCACCTTTGGGACATCCCAAAGGTTTTGAACAGTTGTGTTTTCATTTTCATTTGTTTCCATGAATTTTTTAAATTCTTCTTAATTTCCTGGTTGACCCATTCATTCTTTAGTAGGATGCTCTTTAGCCCCTATGTATTAGAGTTCTTTCCAAATTTCCTCTTGTGATTGAGTTCCAGTTTCAAAGCATTGTGGTCCAAAAATATGCATGGAATGATCCCAGTCTTTTGGTATTGGTTGAGACCTGATTTGTGACCCAGTATGTGATCTATTCTGGAGAATGTTCCATGTGCACTTGCGAAGAATGTGTATTCTGTTGCTTTAGGATGGAATGGTCTGTATATATCTGTGAAGTCCATCTGGTCCAGTGTGTCATTCAAAGCCCTTTTCTTGTTGATCTTCTGCTTAGATGATCTGTCCATTGTAGTGAGTGGGGTGTTAAAGTTCCCTACTATTATTGTATTATTATCAATGTGTTTCTTTAATTTTGTTATTAATTGGTTTATATAATTGGCTGCTCCCATGTTAGGAGCATAAATATTTATAATTGTTAGATCTTCTTACTGGATAGACCCTTTAAGTATGATATAGTATCCTTCTTCATCCCTTACTACAGTCTTTGGTTCAAAATCTAATTTGTCATATAAGGAATACTGCCCCAGCTTTCTTTTGATGTCCATTAGAATGATAAATGGTTCTCCAACCCCTCACTTTCAATCTGGAGGTGCCTTTGGTTCTCAAATGAGTCTCTTGCAGACAGCATATGGATGGGTCTTGCTTTTTTTATCCAATCTGATACCCTGTATCTTTTGATTGGGGCATTTAGCCCATTTACATTCAGAGTAACTACTGAAAGATATGAATTTAATGCCATTGTATTACCGTAAATTCATTGTTTCTATATATTGTCTGTGTTCCTTTCTGGTCTGTGTTACTTTTGGGCTCTCTCTTTGCTTACAGGATCTCCTGTATTAATATTAATATTTCTTGCAGAGCTGGTTTAGTGATTACAAATGCTTTTAGTTTCTGTTTGTCCTGGAAGCTCTTTATCTCTCCTTCCCTTCTGAATGACAGCCTTGCAGGGTAAGTATCCTAGGCTGCATGTTTTTCTCATTTAGTACCCTGAATATATCATGCCAGTCCTTTCCGGCCTACCAGGCATCTGTGGATAGGTCTGCTGCCAGTCTGATGTTTCTACCCTTGTATGTTAAGGACCTCTTGTCTCAAGCTGCTTTCAGGATTTTCTCTTTATCTCTGAAATTTGCAGGCTTCACTATTATATGTCAGGGTGTTGATCTATTTTTATTGATTTTAAGGGGGCTTCTCTGTGCCTCCTGGACTTGAATGCCTGTTTCCTTCTCCAGATTAGGGAAGTGCTCAGCTATAATTTGCTCAAATATACCTTCTGCCCCCCTCCTCTTTTTCTGGGATCCCAGTAATTCTAATATTGATTTGCTTTATGGTATCGCTGATCTCTCTAAGCTTACCCTCATGATCCAGTACTTGTTTATCTCTCCTTTGCTCAGTTTCTTTATTTTTCATAATTTTATCTTCTATATCACTGATTCTCTCTTCTGCCTCATTTATCCTAGCAGTAATAACCTCCATTGTTGACTGCATCTCAGTAATTTTGATTTTGACCTGATTAGATCTTAGTTCTTTTATTTCTCCAGAAAGGGATTCTCTAGTGTCTTCTATGCTTTTTTCAAGCCTGCTAGTATCTTTACAATTGTTATACTGAATTCTACCTCTGACATTTTACCAATATCCATATTTTTAAGTCTCTGGCAGTGATACTGCCTCTTGCTCTTTTTTCTGAGAATTTTTCCTTCTGGTCATTTTGTCCAGAGAAGAATAGATGAACGAGAGAACAAAAAAATAAATAAATAAAAAATAAAAATATCAACCATGACCCCAGTGAAATATACACTAGACAAATCAGAAGAGATCAGAAACCAAAAAAGAGAAAAGGGGAAAAAAGAGAGAATATAATTAAACAGGTGAACAGAACAGGGTGATACACTTGGTCATGGCTGTATTTTGGTCCATTATATATATATATATATATAATTGAATATAGTGAAAGGAAACAAAAAATGAAAAATATATCTATAAATGTAAATATAAAAATGAAAATTAAAAAAAGACTTACAAAAAGAGTTGATAAAATAAGAAACTAGTTGAAAAGGAAAAAAAAGAAAAAGAAAATTTTAAACTGAAAGCCTAAAAAGTCATGGAAAAAACCTCGAATTCTAATATTTTCCCCTAGGGCTGGAATTTTTTAGTTATGTGTGATCCATAAAGTTGGTATTAGCCAGATGTTCCTGGTGGTCTTCTGGGGGAGGGGCCTGTTGCACTGATTCTCAGCTGTCTTTGCCTGGGTGGGGTTGCACCGCCCCTTGCCAGGGGGCCAGGCTCAATGTAAGCTGCTCCGCATTGCTCTGTGTGGCTTTTGTTCCCTGATGGCTTTCTGTGCCACTTTAGAGGATGAAAATAAAAATGGCAGAGCCCCATCTCTAGCATCAGAGCTGAAAGATCACAGCCCCCACTCTTCAGTGCACCCTCAGAGAAAAGCAGTCAATCACTTTTGTCTGCCTGGTTTCTGACCTCACTCTGTGGTCACCCAGCCTGTGACCAAGCATTTTTTATCTCAGACATGTGGCCCCTTTTCGAGTCTCCAAGCCCTGCAGATTCCTGTCTTGCGCACCCTCACTGTTCCTTCTGAGGGAAGAAGGAGGGTTTAGCCAGGGTTGTGCCACTTGCAGGGCCTCTGCTTGGGGAGCTGTGGCCTAGTGGTATGCATACCCATGCCTCTCCTCCTGGGCGAAGGGGAGGGTCTCGCTGTGGTTCTGCAGCTTGCTGGGCCCCTGCTCAGAGGGCAGTCACTGGATCCTGCCCCAGTTCATGGTTTATGGCAACCCCAAGCTAAAAGCCAACTCTGGGGCTTGCTAATTGAAGCCAGCTTACTTGCTCCAATGCTTGGAAACTCTGCAGCACTCAGGTACCCCCGTTCTTTCTGTGACCCCAGGGAGCCCGAGAACACACTGTCTCACCTACAATTCTGCCCCTCTGTGCCACCTGAGAGCCTTTCAGGCAGGGATGTCCCTCACTGGAGCAGACCTCTAAAGGTTCAGATTTTGTGCTCTACTGCTATATATTACTTTCTAGTAGCTGGCTTTTGGAGGTTCCCTCCACTCTGTGGTTTATCTTCCAATAAATCACCTCAGATTCACTTCTCTGCACCTCCTACCTTGCAAAAAGTGGTCGCTTTTCTATTTGTAGAGTTGCAGCAATTCTTTTCTTAGATCTCAGGTTGAATTCACAGATGTTCAGAATGATTTGATAGCTATCTAGCTGAATTCATGGGACCAGATGAAACTAGGGTGCCCTACTCCTCCACCACTTTCCTCCCTCTCTCGAATTTTTTTTTTAAATCAAGACTACCATTTAGAGGTTTAGTCTCTTTTTAGAGTATATAATACTGTTCATTAACTATAGGCAACCCAATTCATGAACAGGATTATGTTGTAAAAATTCACTTAGAAGTAATTACTTTGAAACTTATATGTTATTTTCCCATATGCACTATCCAATTTAACTCAGTACACATCTACTGAATTATATGATCCATCATTTTGTAGTTTGTCAGTCTACTCTAAAAAATAT